TACTTAGCACCCATCTTTGCAATGGTAGGTAGCAGCTGCAAAGAGCAAAGCCTCCTTTTTACTGATGTGGGTGCTGATAAAACTGAAACCATTACTGGAATTCCAGTCAGGAAGAAGAGGAAGAACAAGCCTTGCTTTCAATGTCTGAAACATATCACAGCGTATTTCCTTTTCGTCCCAGGGGAGCAGCCCCTGCCAGAACTCCCTGGCCAACTGAAGACTCCCCGAGCATAGCACTTCAAATGGAGGGAACACAGCTTCAAATCTAAAAGGCAAGGGTGGCAGTTATATTTTGAACCAGGCCTCAAATACATGCATAATAATGTCAAGAATACAGAACTAGGCATAGCAGCTTTTCAGAGGAAGGACCAGTTATGTTATATGAGGAAAAAAATCTGGAAAATTCTTATTGACAATCTTCAGTGAGTTTCAACTCTGAAGCTGACAAGTCAGTTTTTGAAGACTTCCTCAGGAACATCCTTGTTGTTTTGGTCAAACCAGCAAACAGCTTTATGGGGAGGAGAGAAAAAACAGGGCAGCATTCAATCAACAGCTTTTCTCTCCAGTATAATCTCAAAATATTTACAATAGAAAAATAATACTAAAATTGCAAAACATCAAAACAGTAGCAAAGGCCAATATAACTGCCTGTCATTTTTCACGAAGTATACTTTTTAATACCTGGGGAAAAAAAAACCAATTAAAAACAGTTGTGTGGTGCATGGTGCAGCTGGTGAAATATGGCTGTATCTCAACTGCATCTCCATCAGTTCTGGAATTGGAAGTTAATTGAAGAGGATGCGTCTCTAAAGTGGGAAAGATAAGAATGTGATATTTTTCAAAGCTATTTCTAAATAATGCTTTATGCTTATTGTTTAATTTTCCTCATCAACTAAATCTCCTTTATCTGCTTGGAAGGGATTTTAATGGAGCTAAATAAAGAGAAAATTCATCTAGCATTCATGTCTTGCCAATTCTATTATATGTTGCTGTAAGAAGTGTAAATCAAGAGATTGGGTCTTAAAAGTGTTATTCACTGTAGTTTTAATAGAACAGGCCAATTTTACTCTGGTATTACCAGAGATGTTTCCAGCAGCACAGAACGAATACTAAGAAGGACCACCATGACTCCAGCTACAGAAGTGTGGATTAAATCCTAAACTTTTAATCTCCCAATTCAGTCAACATGATGAAATCCACACGGCTCCGAAGAATGTATCACAACAGATATCACTGAGTTAAACTGCATATTTAACCAAGATGAAAGCTCATTCTATGAGGATGAGGAGTGTTTTCAATACTTGTGTGCATAGGTGCAACTTTTTTTTTTTTGACAGAACCACATTAGTAAGCAGGCACATGCATATAGTGCCTATGCATTGTGCCTTTCAGGTCCAAAATAGCAAGTTTTGAATACCAACACATTTTAGACAAAGCAAGTCTTCACTGAACCACAAAATAGAAAGCAAGAAAGCACGTTATGAAGCATCACAGATTTCAGCATGTGAAAGTCCACTTCTAAGGCCAGCCTTACCTAGATGATTCAATGAAACTCCATTTCACACTAAGTACTTTTGCAAGACATTTTGCTGACAAGCCAGTCAGATGTATCACTTCAATAAATCAATTAACTACAAGTAAAGATAACATCCATCTGCATTGCTGATCAGTATTGCAGATGTTGGTACTCCCTGACGTTAATTGTGACTCATTAAAATACTACATGATCAAGCTGTAATAGCTATAATAAAAGCTATAGTATTTCTGATAATACAGCCTATCTTATGCTGTCTCGTAAGTCGCCCCACAAACAACGAACTGGAAGAAACAAAACAACCACAGCCTGGTGCCTGCTGTGCCGTTGCTGCAGGGCAGGTCCTGCTGCTCTCACCTTTGCTACAAGATTGAAGCACAAAGGGCAGCAACTTCCAACAGGTCCTCGTGGATTCAGAATCATGTAATCTTCCAAGAACTGTAAGCCCAGCTCTCCATGTAGTCTTCACTAATGCCAGGTCCCCACATTAGGTTCTGATTTTTTTCCCTTCTGGTAAAAGTGAATGATTAGCACTGAAATAGCACCCAAGAAAAGAAACATGAATTGAAATGGTTCTGATTTCTTGAATTATTGCAGTGCCTATTTCCAGGTATGTTTTCCTTTTAGTGTGAGACATGAGAAGCCTGCTGCTGTATTTCTGTCTGTAGTAACTCCTTTGTTTGTATGATCCACAGCTGACTGCTTTGACAGATTTCAAAGAACTCAAGTTCCATTTAACAAGAACATAAATGGACTAATTCACAATCACATGAGTCACAGTGCTCCTGTAGTGATGGGAGCTGTGTGACAGACTTGGAATTCCCCCCTACGCTCTCTGCTTCACTGGGTCGCAGCCGCGACAGCTCACAGCACAGATGAGGTTCAGGCATTGTGTCCAGGCAGCGCCTGGTGATTGCCTCATGCAGGTTAACACCAGGTCAGCTCTAAAGCTGGCCACACCACAAAGCCATCGATAAACCGTGCCAGGTCATAAGCAGCATCAAGGTAAACTCCTCTATGTTTTCTACTAAGTAACCATTTTTAATTTCAAAACCATTTAAAATAATTCCGTCACAAATAAGTGAAATGAAATCAAATGCATGTATATCGTCCATAAGCATTCAACAGTCCTTAAGACCATTCAATATCACCAAAGGCACTAGAATCAAGGATAATAATGAAGGCAAAAATAGGACTCAGCTGCAAATCTGAGAAGCTTGTGCAATCATTTGCAAGATGATCACATAAAAAGGTAAACTCTAAAGCATGCAACATAGAAAAGGTCAGACTTAATTTGCAAATTACATCACAGAAACAACAGAAGTTTAAATTCAAAATAAATAAATTTGGTGTCAGATATACCAGATAAAAATAGCTGAGAGCTGCATAAGGAAGTCACTAATTAACATCCACACATCCACGCTACATGAAAGGGAAATTCCATTCTAAAATTACTCAGCACAGGTTTCTTATTACTGCAAACATTTATAGGTTAAAATGCTATTTCTGTCACAAATTGCAATTCCCAAAAATTTTCATAATCAAACAGTACAACAGTTAATGAGATTGCATGCAACTTTACCCTAGAGATGATTATAAGCCATTCTAGAGAGAAGGCAAAAATTCTTCCCACTCAGACAGTATAACGCTACTTTCACTAAAAGCCACAGAAATTCTTCTGCTGACCTTTGCAAGAACAAGAACAGTTCCAAACAGCTCCAGCTTTTCAGAGCTATGGTTTGAGAAAAGCACAGTTCTATTTTATTATCATAAATTGTGAACAAATACAAAAGCAAATACCAAAACAAGCCTAAAATACATATAAGCAATGTGAGCTTACAAGTTGCACTTGTGAAGGAATTACCCAGTGATCTCCACAGCTGATGAGCAATAAATTGAAAGCATTGCCATTCCGAAAATGTATGGCACACCTGATTAAGGGTGACACATTCTTTAAAGTGAGCACAGAGCACACCTCCCTTCTGAAACAAGCAAATCAGTCTCAGTCACAAACTCTACAGAAAATGTCTTGATAATGATGCACAATTACTGCTATTTCTTCAGTGAAGAAGGAGCAGGAACATTTTCAGAGCAGCACACCCTTAGTAACAAATAGGCTGAAGAATAATCATAATAGGTTGCTCATGTTTCCACATCAGGCATCAGAAGTCAACTGCCAGTGGACATAGCCTGCTACTTTCTTCTAGTTTTGAACAGAGGCACTGTTTGGTTAACTATGTACTTCTACTTCCTATCACTTCATTCCCTTTCACCTCTGCAGTTATTTGCCTTTGGTCTAAATATTGCAAATTTCACCTCTGGATTACAGTTACAGTGAAAAATCTCTGAAGAAATTTTCCATATTTTCTATACTGTTCAGAAAATTCAAAACCAGCAACTTCCAGTATTTCTTGTTCTATGTTAATTTATTTCCATCTTTCAACCAAAATTCTTTGTCTGAAGCAAAGTTATAAAGAGAACATTATGAGAAATAAAACTGGAAAACTAAGGCTTGGCAAAGTTGGATAATTTGATTCCATACTTAGCAAATGGAACCATCTTCTGGCTATAGTAATTTTAAAAACTTTTTAAAGTCCTTTTACCCCAATTTGGATGGTTTTTCTGTGTATAAACAAAAACTGTCTGGTTTGTTTACACAGGAACAGCTTCCATCCTAAGTCATACAAATTAATGCATCACTTGGTCTTCAACTGCACTGGCTGTACTCTTCTGTCAAGAGCACTTAGGGCAGCAAAAGGGTCCAGCATGGCAGAAAGCATGCCGCTGCACAGACAGACATACAGTGAAGGTTGTTAAATTAACATTACCTTTGTTAAATTAACATGCCACAGACTTCAGGGTGAATCGTATTCCTTCAAAAGCTCTAAACAGTGCCAATTCTTTGACTCTAGAAACCAAAAAGCTTTACCACTGCATAGAAAAATAGCTAACATCTCATCTACTATGCATACAGTTCAGAGAACGACCTCAGATGAAGTCTGAACACAATGAACACAAGTGCTCAGAGTGGCTGACAGCAAGCTGTTGGAACACTGAAGCCAGACCTCTTGCCTTAAAAGCAGGACAGCAGCAGAACAAAACATTTTGCAAAGGTTCTTTTATGAAGTTTGGGAGGCTATATTACATATAGTTAATTATTCTGCATTTTGGCTACATAGACAAATGTCTTTGTGTGACAGATTGCCAAGCAGACTAGTTAAAAGTCTCGCATATCTTGGGCACACAGTTCAATAACCCTCCTGTTTGACAAAAGCTACTAAAGACCATTATTAAAAAAATGAATGAGTCTTTCATCACTTCATTTGTCTGAAGTGACAATTGTGAGACTGTCTAGAACAGTAAGCAGCAAGAATTAAATTAGTAACCGTTATGCCTTCCACATTTTTCAGCCATGAGTGTACATTGCTAATAAAAGGAGTCAATGTAATGAAATTCTGGCTCTTACCACTCTTTTCAGGGAGTTGTTAGGTCCCTTCTCTTGTTCATAAAGCAGAAATCAAAGTTATGGATATTTCTGAAAAACATAAGAAACTGATCAAACTCCGAGCAAAAACTACATAACCAGTGCCCAACAGCTTGTTGAGCTGAGCAGTGGGGCACTGCTATAAGCAGCTCACCAATTCTGCACTGCTGTCCCTAGGCAGTAACAGCTAAGACAAGACTTCCACCAACCCCAGATTTGCTGCTTCTGGGAGACCAAGTTCACATCAGAAGTTTCTTATCTGGTTTCAACGCTGCAGTAAGGGAACACGTTTCTACTGAAACCTCTGGCTCACAAAATCATTTGCTGTAAGTCTACAGTAACAAGAAGTCAAACAGCTGAAGTGTTATATATAAATAAAATCATTCTGATCACATGCTCTATTTCAGTAGCTCAATGGTAAACTGAAAACCAAAGTGATGATTCTTAGTAACTAGAATCCATTTCTCTGTTGCACATCAGAAGAGTTCTGCAATAGCCACAATAATTGAAGGCACAAAAAAACCTTTCATTTGTAAAAGACTGCATGAATACATAGTACATGAACACTGACCGTATTCACAAGGATCTTAAATTGATAAATATTTAACTCTGTCATATTAATTATCCAATCTCTTTGATTTAGCCTCATTATATTAAGGGCTATTTACTACAGGAAAGATAAATCAGCATCTCTGAAATAAAACACATGAACAAATCATAAAGAAAATACTGCCAGTTGGTTTCATTCATTTTACCACTGACCAATGCCACAACACAGAATGCTACAAGATACCAGTAGCTGTATGGTCTTTAATCACTCCGATGTAGTTAAGCAGTTTTTAAAAAGGAAGACAGTCCGTAATTTTCCAGTCAACATGACTGAGATGACAGTGGTTCAGCTTACTTGCTACACACATACAAAACATACATTCTGAGAAGTTAAAAGGAAGCTGGACAGTTTTTCAAGTCAACAATCACACTAAACAGTAATTCCCAGAGAACACAAACACTGTTTCAGACTTCACTTTGCAAAATCCTGATCAGCTGCTCTTCATGCATGTTTATTTTAACACCACAGACCACACATCTCCAACTATTTTACCTGCCTCTGACTCAGGAATCCATCTGATTTGATACTTGAAAGTGGCATTTGAGCCTGCACCTAACACAGAGTACAGTGAGCGTGCAGGACTGGGTTTGCACAGGAAAGGAGACCTGATTCACCCCCATTCCTGTGAGCCAGTCAGCACTTGGCTGCCTTACAAGAGCCGTGTGATCTCCATGTGCACCTTCACCTTCCACAGTAAATTTTATATATATTATTTCCCAACTTACAAGATTCAAGGCAAAGCTCTCTCTTAATACAGCAATTACAGTGCCTTCAAAAGAACACCTGATGAAAGCTAATCCACTTAGCTGAAGGTAAACAAAGCACTGTGTTTAGTCCAATAAGGAAAATGATTTTGAGTACTGCAGAACAAAGGGGAAATCACAGATACGAAGCACACCACCAAGCAGAGCACATGCATGGAAATCCAGTTAGGAAATGTCAATGAATGGGGCTGCTTGTTCCAGAAGCAGCACTGAGAGAGACGGCAGAGCCACAAGTGTGTGGAACAAGAACCAACCCAACCCCGGGCAGAAACAAAACTTTGGAGGAGAATTATTATCAGCAGTTCAGACTTCACCTGCTGACCCTCTTGATTAGGAGCTGTGAAGCAAAGTTCTGCTGTTGTTTTCCCTGTTAAAATATTTTTTTTTTATTATTATTATTTTTATTTTTTTAAGTTTTGCCTTAACCAAAGACAGATAACATTAAGCAGACACAGGGGGCATAATGTGACAGAGTTAAAAAAAAAAATCAGGAGTTACTTGGATTATTCTTCTAAAATTATTCTTTTGTAATTAAGCACATTCTGTGACCCATTTAGAAGGATCCTGCTCCTAGAGAGGGAAGAAGTTAAAAATAATGGCCTAATTAAAAAAAAAAGCATCTCACTGATCAAGAGAAAAAAGCTGAATGGCAAGCTATTTCACTATGAAAATCAAGATGTCACTCAAGTTACAAGTCTGTACACTACAAATGCCAATATCACCTAAGATTTCAGGAAGAATTAATAATTTTATATAGCTTACAACTATGCATCTTATATCTACGGTTTTCTGTTCTTTTGAGCCATGTAGCCCAAGAATAACATTCCACATGCTGGTGATCTCCCTGTGATTAAAAAGCAAACACTACTCAGCATTTTACTGCCAGGAACAGAAATTCATGCATACGATGCACACACTGCGACAAGACCAGCACAGCTCTTGACAAGGACAGTCACCTGCTGTTAAAGCAGGCCTCCAACCTTCCCAAGCCACATACCTGCAAGTTGCAAGGGGTGTGGATGCAATGTGATTTTGAACACCCTCGTGCAATGGAGCTGAGCCAAACACCAGGCAAGTGAATCCAGGGAACGCAGTGCCATGGAGCAAGCCTCCTGGCTTTGACTAAACTTTTCTAATAACATTGCAATTGAAACGCCAAGTGTCAAGAGATCTGAACTTATCAGGAACCAAGCAGCAGTGGAACTACAGAAGTAGCACGAGTAGAACTGTATTTTGAAATTGCCAAAGTATCACGGCTTAACATACACCACTAAGAAGGAAAAATCAGAGAAAAGAGTACTTGATGTAGTGGCTCATGATGAGCTTCTAGACAATTCAGTCACACCCCTTAGCAAGAGCCAGCAGATCTACACTCTGACTGCAGGAAGGACCACCTTAATAAGTCTCTCATAAATATTCAAGAGTCCCACCATATCAGCAGTTCCAAACAAAGGGTGAAGGACTCAGAGAACAACTCCAGGCATCACACAGACAGTTCTGACTGGAACGTTATGCTGAACCAATGCTGGCTGACAAGGGCACGACCTTCTATGATGCTGAAGATGATGACCTGATTTTAAGACTGTTTCATTTTGCTGCCACAGATTTAACAACTCAGGCCTCACCCCCATGAGAACAGTAAAACATGCTCGTTGGGTAACTCAGTCCCACAGTACAGGATTTTAAGCAGAGGCTAAGCACCTTTATTTCAGTGTTACAAATGTGTCCTTGAGGCCTCTTCATGCAGCCCAGTTGTAGAGATGAAAAGCACAGATCTTCAGTTCCAGGACTGTCCCACAGCAGCACACCCTCTACAAGAGGATTGCACTTACCAAGTTAAGGGACAGAAACATGAAATAAGTCAACAAAAAGCAGTGAGTGCTGAGCAAAAATACAGCTCCAAACAGCATCAGAACAGCTCTGAGGCTATTCAAAAATGCACACAAATGAAAGGAAATGATTTGTTTGGTTTACACAGCCTAGCAGACAAGATAATGATGAATGATTTTAGCAACTTCTTTCAGCTTGTCCAAAATATTTACTGCCCATTGTTTTCATCTTCCTAGTTACAAACATGCCAACGCCAGACAGTATCTGTTATAATCAACTTGGATTTACTATGCCTAGCATCTGCCTTAAATCTAACTAATAAAATAACACTGAACAAGAAAAGGGGATGAGCAGAAGAATGGAATCAAAATACTACAAAGATAAGCAGGCAGTTATTTCTTATTCTTAATGCAAAAACAAGAACCCTAGAGACAAAAATGTTCCAGCTGAGCTAACTATGGCTTCCTGCTGCTGTTACTAACATGGTTTTGTAGAAAAGCCACTGCAAATATTACTCACCAAGCACAAAATACCAAATAGAAATGAAGAAAATCATGAGATGTGCATTTCTTCCATCATAAAGCCCAAACTCATTAGAAGATTATATTCAATGTGCTTTCAAACTAGCTGCATGCAGTGACAGCAGAAGCCTTTAAATTTAAATAAATGTTTTAAAATTCTTTAAGATTCCAACTAGAAGTTGGAGATTAAGGTAGAATCTCAGCAGATACAACTACACTGGTTAAAAATGACCAAAATACATAAAAACAGCAACAAATAAAGTAAAAAGAGAGACAGCTGTGTCAGCCCCTGAAATGGGGCTTCTTAAATGCTGATGCTAGCAATGCTACGGTGGAACTGCAGCCACATCCCCACCTGCCTGCACAGCTCTGTCCATCCGGCTCTGCTCTCACACTCCTTGCCTTCGCTCAGGGACTCACTGATGGGTTACAGTTGCTGGTCAAGAAAGGCGGGTGGAGATTGCCTCTTGCACCATTAGGATCATTGCAACTTTGTTTCCTCTTGCAAAAGAGAAAATAATTTGAAGAACATTTAATTACTAAATACTTCCCTTAGAATGACGGATACACAAAGGGCCTATGAAGACCCCTTTACTCCAGGCTCCCTCCAAATATCTGCGTTAGTCTAAGCAAATTACAATCTTCTCAGTCAGGTTCTGAAAATCTCCAAGAATGAGATCTCCACAGACTCTCCAGACAACTTGTTCCAGTGTTTGGTTCACCTTCGGGCAGTTTTTCCTCTCAACTTTCAATTGAAACACAACCCTTCGCTTAGTTCCTACCAGCACACTGTGCTGCGCTGCCTGGTGCACTATTCTGTACTGGTGAGAGCTACTTAAATCAATGAGCTCCGAAAACGACAACGAGATGTATGACCATGAATTTTATTGAACAAGCCTGCATGCATTAGTTATGACACAGTATGGCCTCCGGGTCCAATAATGCAGAGCTGGATTCCTGCACCTTCCAGTGACTGCTCTGAACTCCCCATCAGCTGGGACACACACCACACGCATGTATTTTTCTCTTGGATACGACGCCTACTCTCAGCCGTTGGATTCTGTCTTGGTGTTCCACATGCTTTATAAGTTTCTTTCAAGTTCGTACTACCAAAGACATTTACATACCTAACTTCTCATGAAGAACCTACAGTTTGCTTGCCTGGCCTCCAAAACACAAGTGAGAACAATTCTGAGATGGAATTGGGAGAAATCTGTATTAAAATCAATGTTGAAATTTTTATCAGAAATCAGCCGCTGGAGTTCATGTGAAACGACAAGAATACTCAATTGGGTGTTGGGTTTTTCGTCTGTAGGTTTTTTCTTC